ACTCTCTCCCACCCCTGATTTCAGAGATCTCGTGTGGGTTTCTGAATCTGAGGAGAGAGTCTAAAAGTGAGGTGAGCTGTAATTAGTGCTTGGTAAATAATGGACTTTTTCAGTTTGCTGTAAAATTAAAAAAATAAAATAAAAAAAGTTTTGTTTTGCGTTGAACTGAAAAAGTTTTTGGAAAACTTCCTACAAATCAAAACATTTCAAGAACATCAAAACAAAACATTTTGACCCCAAAACTTTTATTTTAACTTTCAGGCATTTTGATTAAAACAAAGGAAAGGAGGACTAGATTCACAACATGAGTAGTGAAGAAGTGGTGGCTCAGCTCCCTTGTAAGCTTTAGTCCAGTGATTAGATCACTCACTTGGGATGTGTGAGGTGCCGAATATGATATTCAAAAGTGCCTAAGCAGGTTAGGCACTTAACTTCCATTAGTTTCTTCATCTTTAGGCATATCAATACTATGTCACTTTTGAAAATGGAACTTAGGCTCCTAAGTCACACTGATGCTTTTAGATATTTTAACAAATATCTCATTACCATAACTTTGAGTAGTCATAAAAGGGAGATGTTCTTTTTGATGGCAAAAGTGAATAATTCTTCTTATGAATAGATCCTTTCATATAAAACAATAGCCTATAATACTGAATTCACATAGTGTGTCCACACTTATTCACTTGAAATGAACAGGTGATTTGGAATTGGTAATGCTCTATAGAGCCCAATTTATGTCAGTAGTTCCTATCTGATATCTGTTTGACCTATGAGAAATAAGTTGATCTCTGACATGTTAAAGTGAAGATTTGTTTCTAGTACAAATATATCACAGTTAGCATTAATTCACACATATGTTGCCAATCTATACAGAGAACCTGAGTAGGGAGACTAAATTTTCCTCTGTCACTTAGGTGGATTGCTTAGGTGGGCCAGATTTAAGACACATTCAAGGTATGGGGAAGTTTTACTGCTTCCAATGGTATATATCTCTTCTGTGGATAGGATGCCTTCTGTTTTCAGGGCTGTCAATCTTTACCTTTTCCGAGCACTGATTTTATAACATGTAACCAAAACAAACAAACAACAAAAATCCCTGTGACCGGATATCTCCAAATGGTTGATCCAAGTCTTTATTTTTAATTTATTTATTTATTGCAACAAATTCAGTATTTCATCATGCAGGAAGCTATTAACCAAAGAACCCTAAACTATTTATAGACCACTCGAATGTACAACTGAACACTTAAAGTGCATTTAGGTAGAACATGTTTCTTGAAAACCAGTTTTGAAAACTGGATTGCAGGTTCTTCAAGACACTAGAATCGGAACAGCTCTTTTCACAAAATGGTATAGGAATTCATACAAATACAGTTTTGCTAATCTCAGGCATTCAAAGTTAGACCCTCTGAAAATCATTTTAAAAGCAAATAAATACTGGGTTCTTTTTATTTGCCTTCTGACAGTTGAGCTTCTGACATTTTAGGGTTCACATTTCTAAGTTTTGATCTGCAACTATGAGGTTTGGAAACTTCCTTTAAAAAAAAAAATCTTCCCTTTATAACATGACATCAGGACCTGGAACTTTAAGAAAAACACTAGATGTTGCAAGACTTGTCAATAAAATGGTGAGAGATAGCAGTATATTCAATACTTGCAAGTAAATATGAATTTAATATGTTGTCTCAAAAACATATTTACTGTACATAAAGTAATTGTGTTCAGCAGCTTCAGAAAACTGGCCCTTAGTCAGGCCCACCAATGTGGGGGTGGGGAGGGGGCAATTGCCCAGGGGCCCAGGCGATTTAAAAGGGCCCAGGGGCCCGTGGCTGCCTTTTAAATTGCCCGGGCGGGTCACAGGGCTCCTAGGCACACATGGTGTGGTACCAAGCGAGCATGTGGAAGCTCTGGCCGTATCGGAAGAACGCCCATTGACTGTTCTGCCCTGGGACCTGGAATTGCTGTTGGCGGGCCTGCCCTTAGTTACATGTAAGATTGAAATTATTGGGGTGTTTTTACAGGATCAGAATTATGGAAGTCCTGAGGGGTAGGTAGGCTAGGCTGTCAAATCTCTTGTGGATCAGATGCAATATTACCTTTATTCCATTTTAAATTGCTTGTATTTACTGCAGATTGATTCTCAGAATGTCTTTTATGTGTCAGTTTTGCCTACCCACTTCAGTTGTCATCAGTTCTTGTTAATTTTTCCCAGTAACTGCAGAAATTTTGCTTTTTCATCAGTGAGGAAGGAGCCTTTAAATACTTTTTCAGTCTTTCTTTTTATACAGCTGTCTTGAAATACCTCATTTATATTGTTATTGTTTAAGTGAATTTTAAGACGTCACTTTCCATTGAAATTCCCTGATATAAAAGCTAACTTCTGCAATGATACATGTCAGTGGATTCCTCATCTAATGGGTGATATTCATAGAAAATAAATAGCATACCTTTGGGATTTTTTCTTTCACCTGATATATATATCCCAAAAGTATGCTGTTTATTTTCTATGAATATATAAAACTTTCTCTTACATTATTTCCCATATGGTGTACACAAGTGAGATGGTATGGTGTGGAAAAGTAATTCATTTATCTTATCCACATATGCTTTGCCTGTAATGGGACATGAGCAAACATAGACTTCATCAGTTATCTTGTAACTCCTTTTTGGTAAAGTAAGCTCTCATCAATTAATATGCTATGGGTAAAGCATTACACTACAATTATTTATAATTAACATTTTGTGTAATTCAGGTGGACATGGTTTTTAATAATTACAGAACCTTTCATACCAAGCATTTTAATTTTCAGGAATGCGAGGAGTTTACCTATAAGTTTGCAGAGGAAATTAGAAAACTGTACTTTGGTGCAGTGACACCAGGTTATGATTTCATGACAAGACTTAGGTATGTATCTCAATGTACTTTTCTAAGTTCAGTTCTATATAAAACTCAAAATTAGTGAAAATAGTGAGAAAGTATAGAAGGCTATTTGTACAATGGAAAGCTCAGCTTTCTTCTGCTTCTAAAATATTTCTAAGCTGTTCAGTAATTAATGGTGAATAATGTTAATCATTTTCTTTATTATAGGGCAGGTATAGAGTCTTTTCTTCCTTCTAATGCTCATGAGATAGCAGAGAATCGTCTCTATGTATCAATCACCAACACTAAAAATGGAAAAAATTATTTGGTTTCAAATTTTGCCTCCAGGGAGGATCTCATTAAGGTAACAAAGTTGCATATCACTTCTGTAAATGAAACTGCATGCCTGTCTCCCAAGGTCTGTAACATTGTTTTTTTTTTTTAATTGGATTAAATCCTGTTCCTTTTACTCATTTGAGTAATCTCACTGACTTCAGTGGTACTGCCCACATAACCAAGGCAAGCAAAAATATAGTGGCACAGCAGCACCACTATAGTTAAGGTTGTGTCACAACTTCTGTTTAAAGGTCAATGTTTTTAAGTCTTCTAAAATCAACATGCTTAATCAGATTCCTTTCAAATGTGTTGTGCCTCTTGATCGTGCAGTTACCCAGATTTGGGCTAGGAGTTCCAGAGATTCAAAACCTGAAAAAAACTAGCCATTTTTCAAAAAGTTTCTAGGTAGTGTGTTTTTGTACAGAGCAGGAGCTCAAACTATTGATGTGATGCAGCTCAGTTGGTCTCAGTCTGTTGAGTTTTATCCAAAGTTGTGCATAACGCTCACTTAATCTTTGTGAGACCCAAACTGAGAACAGTATTTAAGAAAATGTACATTATTTACAGAGTGCATGCAACAATTCAGAAAAATACCTACAAGATTTACATTCCTGCCATTTACTCTAGTACATAAGAATGGCCATATTGGGTCAGACTAATGGTTCATCTAACACAGTATCCAGTGTCTGTCAGTGGCCAGTGCCAGATGCTTCAGAGGGAATGAACAGAACAGAGCAATTTATCAAGTGATCCATCTCCTGTCATCCATTGCTATCTTCTGGCAGTCAGAGGTTAAGGGACACCCAGAACATGGGGTTGCATCCCTGCACATCTTGGCTAACAGCCATTGAGGGACAGATTCTCCATGAACTCACCTAATTCTTTTTTGAACCCAGTTATAGTTTTGGCCTTCACAACAACCCATGGCAATGACTTGCATAGGTTGACTGTGTATTATGGGAACAAGTTTGTTTTAAACCTGCTGCCTTTTAATTTCATCAGGTGACCCCTAGTTTGTGTTATGTGAAGGCATAAATAATACTGCCCTATTCACTGCCTTCATACCATTCATGATTTTATACACATCAATTATATCACTCCTTAGTCTTCTTTTTTCTAAGATGAACAGTCACAGTCTTTTTAATCTCTCCTTGTATGGAACTGCTCCATATCCCTAATGATTACTGTTTCCCTTCTCTGTACTTTTTCAAATTTTAATATATCTTTTTTGAGATGGGACAACCAGAATTGCACTCATTATTTAGGTGTGGGCATACCATGGATTTTTATAGTGGCATTATGATATTTTCTGTTTTATTATTTATCACTTTCTAATGGTTCCTAACAAGTTTAGCTTTTTTGACTAGTGCTGCACATTGAGCGGGTGTTTTCAGAGAACTATTCACAATGACCGACAAGATCTTTCTTGAATAGTAACAGCTAATTTAGAGACGATCATTTTGTATGTATAGTTGGGATTATTTTTTCCAATGTGCAGTACTTTTCACTTATCAACACTGTAAGTGCTTTAAAATCTGATTGGTTACTAAGGTTGCTTTGAAATTTGGTGTGTGTCATGGGGATGCAGGATAACGTTATGATCCAAATTTAGGGTCATTTGACTGAGTGGTTCCTGAGTGACAGAAACCCCCTGTCATGGGGTGAATGTACCCCATACTGGCCCAGCAACCACAGTGTTAATACAGGCACTGCTGGCCACTGCTGATTGGAAGCCTCGAAGCAGCTGGGAGGATAAAAGGGCTGGGAAGCAGAGTGGCAGGGCAGTTACCAGAGAAGTGAGCAGGCTGGAGAAAAAAGCTCCTGCCAGCAAACTACTAAAGAGAGTTCCAGAAACAACAGTCCAGGAGGGGATGAACTGATCAACAGGGTGGAGAGCCTGCAAAGAACCAGGGAAAGGTAGGAAAAAGATCAGGGCATTGTCAGAGTCGAAGAACCCTGATTTCCTGATGTCGCTTACCTGACTTGAAGGCCCTGAGCTGGAACCCAGTGGAGTAGGCGGGCGTGGGTTCCCATACCAACCCCCTGGCGGACTTGGAGCCCAAGAAAAGCTTGTCAGACTCCTGGGCACCAGGACTGGACTCTCAGTCCCGTGCTAGGTAAGCTCTAGGGCTGTGCTATACTTGGCCAGAGGGGCGCTGTTGCACTCATGCACCATCCCATACCCCACTTTCCCCAAAATAAAAAAAATTGGTTTCTTTCTGCTGCCTTGTACTGTTAAACTGAGAGATACCAATGATTGGAAGAACCACAGCCCTTGTGGAGATATATGGCTGTGAGATCATTCTTTAATTAATACATTTAAGGATGAGCTACTTAAAAGCCTCCACTAAGATAAAAGGAGTTTTGGACTGAGTGGCTGGAGGTTGACCAGCCTGTTTATTATTCTGCTGTGTTCATAATAAACCTTCCCATAAAATAAAAACATGTTATATTTTAACAGAAACAACTGGTCACAAACAACATGAGTTATTGAATCTTTACTGCACAGAAACATCAGTGGGTGTTCACTAACTGCAATGGCACATTCCCTTGAACTACCCAGCCATGCATGAAGTGGCTTCATAGAAACTTTGTGATTAGCTCATCCTTAAATTTGTTGATTTGAGTCATGGGTGGTAATTCTATTGTGAGTAATCAAAGTATCTGGGGGGGGGGAATAGACATGTGATTGCTTCCTGGAATGGGAGGAGAGGGGTATTAGGGAGCAGAGGAGTGGGTAAATAAGGTGTCAGAGGGTTTGGGGGCTGCAGTGAGTAAAGTTTTACCCACGGTACAGTATGGCACCCATTAAGTTTCTGAGGGACCCCCGGGAGTGATGTGTAAGAACAAGTTCACTTCTTTGCCTGTGCAATCTGGTAGGATTACAGTGCATAAGCACCAATAAAGAAGAAAAAACATTAGAAGGTTTCTGTGAAGCCACTTTATGCATGCCTAGGTAGTTCAAGGGAATGTGCCAATGCCATTGGTGTTAGTGAACATCCACTGATGTTTCTGTGTAGTAAAGATTTAATAACTCATGTTGTTAGCAGCAGGTCTAACCAAAATTTTTGTTACATCAAGTGGAGAGGAACCAGGTACAGAGGACTTTGTGGTAAGAGGACAGGAGAGGGATTGCTGCTGTTGAGGGAGCGGGGAAATGAGGACATGTAGGCAAGCCTTGGATTGTCTGAGAAAAGCTATGTTACTAGTTTCTGAGAACGGGGGGGAAGGGAGGGGAAGTGGCTACTTCTTGATCTCAGCGCAGATTTATGCGGTGTTTCCAGAGACACACAGGATGGAAGTTTCAAACTGACTGAGTAGATACTTGACTCCTGAGGGAAAATGAATTTGAGCGCTGCCAGGTTCGCCAACATGTGGATTCTGGTAGATTCCTGGATCACAAGGTTACTGAAGTTTGCAGGAGAACAAGGAGTAAACCATGACATGGGAATTGCTGACTATGGGCTGATTGGAGTGGAGAGAGGTGGCCTATGTTGGCATCATGTTTTGCCCACTCTGGAGCATCTAACTGATGGCTTAACAGGTTGTCACCTACCTAGAGCAGGGGTGGGCAAACTTTTTGGCCCAAGGGCCATAACTGGGTATAGAAACTGTATGGCAGGCCATGAATGCTTACAAAATTGGGGTTGGGGTGTGGGCTCTGGCTGGGGGTACGGGCTCTGGGGTGGGGCCAGAAATGAGGAGTTCAGGATGCGGGAGGGGGCTCTGGGCTGGAGGAGGGGTGTGTGTGGGGGTGAGGTGAGGGCTCCAGCTGGGGGTGTGAACTCTGGGGTGGGGCTGGGGATGAGGAGTTTGGGGTGCAGAAGGGTGCTCTGGGCTGGGACCGAGGGGTTCGGAGGGCGGGAGGGGGATCAGGGCTGGGGCAAGGGGTTGGGGCAAGAGGGAGTGGCTCAGGGTGAGGCTCAGGTGGTGCTTACCTCAAGTGTCTCTCGGAAGCAGCAACACATCCCCCCTCTGACTCCTACGCGGAGGCGCGGCCAGGCAGCTCTGCTGCACGCTGTTCCGTCTGCAGGCGCCGCTCCTGCAGCTCCCATTGGCCGTGGTTCCTGGCCAATGGGAGCTTCAGGGGCAGCACTTGGGATGGGGGCAGCGTGCAGAGTAGAGCCAGAGGGGGGACATGCCGCTGCTTCCGGGAGCCGCACGGAGCGGCCCAGAGCTCCAGAGTGGGGCAAGCCCCAGACCCCGCTCCCCAGCGGGAGCTCGAGGGCCGGATTAAAGTGGCTGGCGGGCCGGATCTGGCCCGTGGCCCGTAGTTTGCCCACCCCTGATCTTGAGGTTGTGGTGATTCATTTGGGAGACAATGATCTGTGTTTTATTCCTGATGTGCATTTCATGTGTTATATTAAGAGCGGATTAAGACTGCATCAAAGATTTGTGTCCAGCAGCAGTGATTGATTTCTCTGAGTTGGCTGAGTGTCTGAGTAACTGCTACAGTGACAATATGATTAATATTAATAAGTGTTGGTAGAACATTAAATCAGGAAATTGGAGGGCTTATTGCTGACTGAAAATATTTACTGTATGGCAAAGAAACTGCAAGCTCTGCCACCTCCCTCTTTCTCAGAGATGGGGTACATCTGTCGGGCAGGTTCTCTCTCTCTCTCTCTCTCTCTCCAAACTCCACTGTCCAGCCATTCTGAGTCATGCAAAGATACATGTAGACATTACAGGTCAACTACAGACATTGCAGCCGGCACATGGCTTGGTGCTTGAACTGTGCCATGAAGTGGCTGTGGAGCAGCACAAGAGCTAGCTGAACCATGCTGCTGGCCCACATACCATTCTGGCCATGAGCAGTTGGTCCTGCTCCCTGTTGGTCCTCTTTATCCCGGAACTTCTGGAGCTGTCCCTCCTCATGGAGTTTGCCCCTCTCCTCCTTCATTTTCTTAAAAGCCTTGGTCCTCCTCCTCCTGATCCTGCTGCTGGCTAATTGTGACACTCCGAATTCTAGGTGAGAGGCTTGGCCCAGCAGGTGAGGAAGTGTCTGCCAATGGAATGAAACAGTAA